GCGAATGTGCACAGAGAAAATATGCAGACACAAAGATTATAGACAGTCGCAGCAAAGCATCAACAGATGATTCCTTCTTTTTCTGCTCCAGGCCGGAGTCACCAGCAAACGCATCTCAGATGTTCACCTGTCTGACCGCCTGTCTGTCTGTCTGTCTGTCTGACCACTTGTCTGCCCACCTGCCTGCCTGTCTGACCGCCTGTCTGTCTGTCTGTCTTTCTGACCACTTGTCTGCCCACCTGCCTGCCTGTCTAGCCACCTGTCTGTCTGACCGCCTGTGTATCTGTCTGACTGTCTGTATGTTTTTTCTGACTGTCTGGCTGTCTGAACACTTGTCTGCCCACCTGCCTGCCTGACTGGCCACCTGTCTGTCTGACCGCCTGTGTATCTGTCTGACTGTCTGTATGTTTTTTCTGACTGTCTGTCTGTCTGCCCACTTGTCTGCCCACCTGCTTGCCTGACTGGCCACCTGTCTGTCTGTATGTTTTTCTGACTGCCTGTCTAGCCACCTGTCTGTATGACTGGCCGCCTGTCTGTCTGACCATCTGTCTGCATGACTGGCCACCTGTCTGTCTGTATGTTTTTCTGACTAACTGTCTGGCCACCTGTCTGTCTGCCCACTTGTCTGCCCACCTGCTTGCCTGTCTAGCCACCTGTCTGTCTGACCGCCTGTGTATCTGTCTGACTGTCTGTATGTTTTTTCTGACTGTCTGTCTGTCTGCCCACTTGTCTGCCCACCTGCTTGCCTGACTGGCCACCTGTCTGTCTGTATGTTTTTCTGACTGCCTGTCTAGCCACCTGTCTGTATGACTGGCCGCCTGTCTGTCTGACCATCTGTCTGCATGACTGGCCACCTGTCTGTCTGTATGTTTTTCTGACTAACTGTCTGGCCACCTGTCTGTCTGCCCACTTGTCTGCCCACCTGCTTGCCTGTCTAGCCACCTGTCTGTCTGACCGCCTGTGTATCTGTCTGACTGTCTGTATGTTTTTTCTGACTGTCTGTCTGTCTGCCCACTTGTCTGCCCACCTGCTTGCCTGACTGGCCACCTGTCTGTCTGTATGTTTTTCTGACTGCCTGTCTAGCCACCTGTCTGTATGACTGGCCGCCTGTCTGTCTGACCATCTGTCTGCATGACTGGCCACCTGTCTGTCTGTATGTTTTTCTGACTAACTGTCTGGCCACCTGTCTGTCTGCCCACCTGCTTGCCTGTCTAGCCACCTGTCTGTCTGACCGCCTGTGTATCTGTCTGACTGTCTGTATGTTTTTCTGACTGCCTGCCTGTCTGTCTGACCACTTGTCTGCCCACCTGCCTGCCTGACTGGCCACCTGTCTGTCTGTAAGCTTTTTCTGACTGTCTGTCTGACCACCTGAGGGCTACGGTGGTAAGTGCTCGCCCCGTAATTGGAAGGTTGCAGGTTTGAGCCCTGCTCAGTCTATCGCTGCCGTTGTGTCCTTGGGCAAGACTTAACCCACGTTGCCTGCTGGTGGTGGTCGGAAGGACCGGTGGCGCCTGTGCTCGGCAGCCTCGCCTCTGTCAGTGCGCCCCAGGGCAGCTGTGGCTACATCGTAGCTCATCCCGACCAGTGTGTGAATGACTGTGTTGTAAAGCGCCTTGGGGGGTTCCAGGACTCTAGAAGGTGCTATATCAAATACAGGCCACTTACCTGTCTGTTTGTCTGACAACCTGTCTGACTACCAGTTTGTCTGACTGACTGTCTCACCTCCTTTCTGTCTGTCTGGCCACCTGTCTGGCTGTCTGTCTGATTGTTTGGCTGTCTATCTGATTGACTACCTGTGTCCATATACCAGTCTGTCTGATTGCCTGTCTAACAACTTGTCTGTCTAATTGCCTAATTAGATCAGCTTTGTGTTTCTAACGAGACTCTGGAGCTACAGAAGTTACACGCGCTTCCTCAGACTCTGAGCTGGTGTGGTGAGACACGCGCTTCAGTTATATTTAGTCTAAGGTGTAAATTCACACCTGGAGTGTTTCTGCAGGCATGAAAGCAGCGGCTTTATTTTTACAACAAAACAAAGAAGATCTGTGACAGCTCAGAAAGCCGTCAGACTCATTTAGCAGCTTGGGGGTGGAGATGTGTCGGAACCAGGAGGCGTCAGCGGACGGCTCGTTGCAACATTCCCGACTCCGCAGGGAAACGAAAGCCTCACAGTATCTGCGGCTTCTTCTGACGATGATGCTCTGTGGCGGAGCCGCGTCCCGCTAGTCCTCAGCAGCGTTCGCCCCAAATGCTCATCTCATTAAACTTCAATCCTCCTCACTGCTCCACACTGTCTTCTGCCTCTGCGATGGCTTCACAACACACCAGGAAGTCTCACCGTTTCCAGCAGCGAGGAAACCAGCAGACAACCGGGTCAACAGAACCACAAGATCCACCGGCTCTTGGAGAACGTTTGGTTCTAAAAACCGGGCTTAACTTCTACATGAGAAAGCCAAATGTACCAAGTTAGAATCAGAGAGACATTTTACATTTAGGTCCAGAGTCCCTGATCCAATTCTCTTCTCTTTACATCAGAGACCTGAGCCTGAGACCTGGACCAGAGACCTCAGCTGGATGTGGGGGTCCAGATTCCGGACCAAGCTGAACCTGGGAATCTTCTGGGATTCCCCAGACAGAAAACGTTTAGCCATTTGAACTGGTGGTCATTATGTTGCGGTGGATCAGCAAACAGCTCCTTACCCTCTAACTGGTGTGTGCCGTTCACAGACCTGCTGGGATATTTATGACCCGATGCAGCTCTGCTCACCTACTTTAACTAATGCGCTGTAATATTCATGTGTCTCCTCCCACTTCCAGTTTCTAACGTTCCTGTGAGGAGAAGTCCCGTCAGCCAGAGACAGGAAGACCAACAACACACATCCTGACTCCGCCGGATGGTTCTAGCGTTGAACCACAATCAAGACTTAGAACCAGGCTGAGAGCACCTGCGGTGGTACCCGAGCTGGTCCTCGGACCTGGAGGTGGCCTCAAGGAGACTAGAACCAACAAAATCTGTTATTTGTGACCAGTGTCGGGAGTAACGGCGTTTAAGTATAACGGCGATCTTAATTAGGTAACGGGATAATCTAATTAATTACTTTCCCGCTGTTGCAACGCCGTTACCGTTACCGTTACTGGAGACGGGTGCGTTAGCGTTACTATGTGCTTGTGGAAGGTTGAGCAACAGTGTGAGGCTTTCTGACCGCCACACTTCAGCTGCAGCCAGGGAGAGAGAGGTGTCGGTAACGCGCTTACAAACACGATGATGATTGGCCGGGTGGGCGGAGACCCTCAGTGTTCTCACGGTCTCAGCCTGCTGTAGACCCACCAGAGCAGTGATGGGAATAACACCGTTTAAAATAACTACAAAAATATTTCTTTTAGTAATGAGTAAACTAATTAATTACCGTCTTCTTTTATCAAAACGTCGTTTCTGTTACTGACAAGGAAAAGCGTGCGTTAAGCAGCGCGTGTGTTGAAGCTGTCATCAGCTGATCAGGAGCTAAAGAGGCAGATGTTTGCATCCAAGCGCATCACGGCCCGTGGAGAACGAGGAAGACGTGATGAATAGTCTACGGCTGCAGGTGTGGATCTGCAGCCGTGCCCTTCTTAGCGTGACAGCGGGACGTCCCGAAGGTCCGCTCACCTGTTCACCGCTCAGACGTCCTGATCTTCTACCTTCCTAGATCATCCAGCTGTAACCTGTTCCTGATCACGTCTTTAGTCCCGCTGTAACACTGATGCATCAGTCTCAGACGTCATGGAGCTCAGGTGTTACTAGAACTACCTGTGTGTGTTTACCACCCAGCTTCAGCTCTTCTGTGGTTGGGTCTGACCCACGTTAGTAAATGTAAGTCCTCCATCAGGCTTGTGCCTCTTCTAGTGTCATTTTAAAGGATTTTATTTATTTATTTAACCATTACTAGATTAGCAGCAACAGAAATGCTGCTAATAATTATGTGAAGCTGGAAAAATTAGAATACTGTACAAAATTACACTTATTTCAGTAATTTAACTAGACTGAGAGACTATCTAAAGGCTCGGGAACCTTTACAAGTGTTTCTATTTGCAATTTTAAATTTTAACTGATTGGGGTCTTGTTAAATATCACACAGTGACCTTTTAATAGTCTAGAGAAGTGTAATGTTAGGGTTAGTAGTTCCTCCTGTTAAGTGCTTATTTATTTAAATTATTCAGGTTTATAAAAAACATTTGGACATTTTATTACGTTCCAGTCATTAGTCATTTATATTTCACTACTGTAGTCACTTATAATAAATTAAGTAAGTTTAATTAAGAGGGGAACCCATTTTCTAGCATTTTTTAATGAAAAAAGTAACTAAGTAGTTATTTTTCTTGGTAATTAGTTACTTTTATAATCTCGTAACTCAGTTAGTAACTGAGTTGCTTTTTTGACAAAGTAATCAGTAACTATAATTAATTACTTTTTTAAAGTAACGTTCCCAACACTGTTTGTGACAGTCGTGTCTAAAACATCGCAGGTAGAATGTGTTTGTGCGACAGCGCCCCCTGCTGTTAGGAGACCTGCAGGAAAACTACAGACTTCCCCTTAAGGTGGAGCGGCGGTGAGCTTCTGTCTTTTCTAACCCTCACACCCCTCTTCTAGTTGAGCTTCTCAGCTGATGTGACAGCCGGTCTGACAGCTGAAGCAGAAGCAGCTGAGATGTGTCTGCACGACTCCGACCTCCGTCAGAGTCCAGGTGACGAGAAACCAGACAACGGATGGAGGTGAGCTACTGAAAGGTGACGTGGATGGACGGACACAGAGAGAGCAAAGAACACTGGAGAACAGCAACATGAGCAGCGTTTAACTCGATGGAAGAAAAACTGATCAAAACAAAACTTAAACAAAATAAACCCTCCACCAAGACCGGAAACATCATGGCGACACGGGTCTGGAGCCGAAAGGCTCATACGTCTACAGGTCCAGACGTAAAACCGACTGTTACAGCAAGACCATCAGCTCTGAATCCATTCTCACCATCGCCAAATCCAGAACCAGGACTAGAAAGAAACGGTCAAGATCAAGTTCTACAGCCTCAGGACCAATAAGTCTCCAACCTGGACTAGCGAGTCCCAGTCAACCTCAGAATTAAGCAAGTCTAGGCTGAAGGCCATCAGCATCAGCATCGAGAACGCATACCCCTCAAGATAACGAGGTCCAGCATCCGGCCTCGGGACCCGTGGGTCCAGGTCAAGACTATCATCGAGTCAATGACATGAGAATTGTTTCAAGTCCTGTGAAAGTCACTCATTCATCTAATGTTAGAGTTATGATAATGTGTTCATCACACACACAAGGGCTTCTGCTTTTATTAGATCTGGGTCTAAGGTCCAGTCATGTGACCACAATCTGGATCTTCAAACACAATCAAATGTTTCCTATACTGGTGGAAAGGGTAAAGAAGAAGACCCACGGCATGTCAGGAGCATTTTCCTGGGGTCTGCAGCGGGACCAGAACCAAACCAGGTTCAGGTTCTGCTGGATCCATCATAAAACAAACCAAAGACAAAACGGCGTAAAACACCAACTTCCCTCGATCAGATCCATAAACAACAAGTAAAGACTGTGAAATCCTTCTTGGTGGAGAAACACATAAAGTCAGAGAACAGAAACGAGTCAGAAAAGAAGCTGTGTTGAAGCATCCAGCAAAAAGAAGGTCCTAAGCTGAGAAGGTCTCAGGTCTGATAGACGAGTGAAGGACTGAAGATGAAGGGATGAGAGAGGAGTAATGCTGCCTGAAGATGGATGGAGAGATAACCGAGGGATGGCCTCTCACACACATCAACAGATTCTTTTCCATGCAGTGTCAACTAAGTATCACAACCAGACTTGTACATACACATGTGTATTACTGTATGTACACAAGTGTATACCTGTATGTACACAAGTGTATAACTGTATGTACACAAGTGTATAACTGTATGTACAAAAGTGTATAACTGTATGTACACAAGTGTATACCTGTATGTACACAAGTGTATACCTGTATGTACACATGTGTATAACTGTATGTACACAAGTGTATAACTGTATGTACACAAGTGTATAACTGTATGTACAAAAGTGTATAACTGTATGTACACAAGTGTATACCTGTATGTACACAAGTGTATACCTGTATGTACACATGTGTATAACTGTATGTACACAAGTGTATAACTGTATGTACACAAGTGTATAACTGTATGTACAAAAGTGTATAACTGTATGTACACAAGTGTATACTTGTATGTACACATGTGTATAACTGTATGTACACAAGTGTATACCTGTATGTACACAAGTGTATAACTGTATGTACACAAATGTGTACTTATACACAAGTGTATACCTGTATGTAAACAAGTGTATACTTGTATGTACACAAGTGTATAACTGTATGTACACAAGTGTATAACTGTATGTACACAAGTGTATAACTGTATGTAAACAAGTGTATAACTGTATGTACACAAGTGTATAACTGTATGTACACAAGTGTATACCTGTATGTACACAAGTGTATAACTGTATGTAAACAAGTGTATAACTGTATGTACACAAGTGTATAACTGTATGTACAAAAATTTGTACTTATACACAAGTGTATACCTGTATGTACACAAGTGTATAACTGTATGTACACAAGTGTATACCTGTATGTACACAAGTGTATAACTGTATGTAAACAAGTGTATAACTGTATGTACACAAGTGTATAACTGTATGTACACAAGTGTATACCTGTATGTACACAAATGTGTACTTATACACAAGTGTATACCTGTATGTACACAAGTGTATACCTGTATGTACACAAGTGTATAACTGTATGTACACAAGTGTATAACTGTATGGATGCAAGTGTGTACTTATACACAAGTGTATACCTGTATGTACACAAGTGTATAACTATATATACACAAGTGTATACCTATATGTACACAAGTGTATACCTATACACAAGTGTATACTTGTGTATATACACAAGTGTATACCTGTTTTTACACAAGTGTATACCTGTATGTACACAAGTGTATACTTGTGTATATACAAGTATATACCTGTATATACACAAGTGTATACCTGTAGGTACACAAGTATATACCTGTATATACACAAGTGTATACCTGTATATACACAAGTGTATACCTGTATATACACAAGTGTATACCTGTATTTACACAAGTGTACATCTGTATATACACAAGTGTACACCACTATATACCTTTAAAAACATATATAACCATATAAGTCTGTGTTCACCTGTATATACCTGTGTGTATGCCTGTGGGGACCTTTATATACCAGTGTTTACTTGTGTGTATAGCTATGTGTACTTGTATTTATACCTGTGTGCATACCTGAGTGTATACCTGCATGTATACCTGCTTGTGTAACTGTGTATGTACCTACGTGTGTACCTTTGTGTATACTTGCATATATACCTGCTTGTGCACCTGTGTGGATACCTGCGTATATACATGTGTGTGTACCTGCTTGTGCACCTGCGTGTATACCAGTGTGTGAGCTCACCTTGGTCTCGCGCTCCTCTAGCAGTGTCTCCAGTTTCTTCTGGGCGGCTCTGCCCTCGTGGTCGTCGCTGACAATGAGGATGATGTGGTTCCACCTGAACTCCCTCATCAGGTCGAACCACACCTGGGCCTGATGGGAGTATGGGGGGACGGTCCTCAGGAAGGACAGGTGGATACTCTGACAAGAAGGAGGAGGAAGAGGAGGTCATCCTGACATTGCTAATCCTTTTGTTGTCCCCTCTCAGAAGTTCTGATTGGCTGAAGAGACCAATTGAGTGCAGCTTAATGGTACCACGCGTGTGATTGTTTTAAATAACAGCTGTGAGGACCCGATGCATGTTGACTGAACCTGAGAGATGATGTTTCAGGTTGAGTTTTGTTGTTGGAGCCAAGAGCAGGTGAGTCACCTATGGAAGCAGCCAGGTAAACTCAAAAAATACGTTAATAAGTAAACTATTTCAAAAAGGAGGTCAGAACGTTGGAACAGTGGAAACACTAGGAGATGCTAGAAGAAGACTAACATGCAGGAGATTCCAACACAAGAAAATAGAAATGGGCGCTTAAATGCACCGAGCGAGGTAATTAGAGACAAGGGACGGGTGAGCTGAGTGCGGATTAGCAGTGATTAGGATTCGATGATAGAAGTAGCAGGGGAGCTGAGGTAGAAAACAAACAAACAGGGACACAGGGGACAGGTCCTGACATGAAGGAAAGCCTCTAGCTTTGGTTCACACAAACACATTCACGTGGAGTTGTTTCTAGAAGCTTCTGCAACGTCAGCAGATTTGTTTCCATCCAGTGTTGCGTGATGTTTCACCAAGATCTCGCACTGATGATGGTAGAGTCTGACCGCTGCACAAAGCCTTCTCCAACACTTCCCGAAGATTCTCAACGAGGTTAAGGTCTGGACTCTGTGGCGTCCGATCCATGTGTGAAAATGACGTCTCGTGCTCCCTGAACCGCTCTTTCACCATCTGAGCCTGATGAATCCTGACATTGTCATCTTGGAATATATCAGGGAAGAAGAGAAGAAATTCTGCTGTGATGTCATGCATCCCGCTCCTGATTTGTAGTTGCGTGATGATTCCATGTTGTCGTGCCACGCCTGTCATGTTGGTTTTTTCCTTTCTGCCAGTGCTCCTGTCACTGATCAGCTTCGCACCGTTCACCTGAGGCCTGCCCGACTGTCTCTCTGCCAGATGATCGGCGGCCTTGTGCCAGTAGAGACTCCAGCGACATTTTTCAGCCAAGCCCGTTTCTGATTTATTTTTACCACGTTTTCTGTCCACGGATTCTCTCCTCCATCTGTCAACTGGACACCGACCTTACTTTGACTACCGATTCCTGCTCTACCCCCTGAGAAGTGCTACTGACTTCTGCTGCCTGTGTGTGACCTTGCCTGTACCTCACCTAGACGTCGGATTTTGGATTCGTGAACTTCTGTTGGGCTGTACTAATGGGCCATTCCCATCTGTACCGGGTCGGCCCGGGCCGGGTAGCCCCAGCCTGGCCCGGTTGATTCCACACATCCTTGTCTTAAGCCCATGTGGGCTGATTCTACCCACCAATCAGAGGCTTGCTCTAATGGAAGGTGTGAATTTGCTGTCAGCAGTGGGCGTGTTGGCCCTGGTCGGCCTGAAGCAGACCCCCTCGAGAAGAGGGCTGAGAATGAGCCTTGGTTGGCCCGGAAAAATACCAGGCCACCCAGATATGTAAACAACCTACGCTACCCGGCCCGGGCCGACAGATGGGAATGGCCCATAATTGTCTGTGACAGTCTGAGGAGAGGGGTTCCCATAGCTGGCACCAAGACAGTAACACCCCCCACCCCCCACCCTTCTCCCTACCATCACAGCACATGCTGCTCCGTCTCCAGTTTTCCCAACAGCAGAACTTTCTACTCGTCCCTTATTCCCCCACGTTCTAAAATAAACTGCTGTGTTTTGGGGGAGTTTCCGAGTCTTCAGGTCGTATCCATTACAAGTTGTTGTAATAACAAATTTTTAAGAAGCTAATGTCTAATTAGGCTCCCCATATGAGGAGCCTTAAGCGCTAGTCTCTGACCACAGTGGCCCTGTTACCAGAAGGGTGCAGGGTTGAGTTCTGCTCAGTCTGTCCTTGGACAAGGCACTTAACCCGCCTTGTCTGCTGGTGGTGGTCAGAGTGACCGCTGGTGCCAGCCTCACTTCTGTCAGTGGGCCCCAGGGAAGCTGTGGCAACATTGTAACTCACCACCACCAGGGTGTGAATGGGCGCTTGCGTGGGTGAATGCCATTTTGTGTTGTAAAGCGCCTTGGGGGGTTGTAAAACTCTAAAAGGTGCTATATGAATACAGACCATTCACTACTTTTACCTACAGCCTTTGTGGAGCCTGAAGGCAACACAACGAGCGTTCCAAATGTCTTTCAAATCCACATGACTCCAGTCCAGACCTCCCTGCAGTGTTGGGCAAGTTACTTCAAAACTGTAATGCATTATTTATTACTTGTTACCCTCATTTTAAAGTAATTCATTACATTACAATATTACTGATTTTAAAATGTAAGGCATTACACTACTTTTGCATTACTTTAAGTTACTTTCACCAAAACAACTTCAGTATGAATCTGGTCATGTGACGCTCAGTGAGCTCATGACATATATGTGGAAGGTGGTGTGGTGTCTGAGCTAGGATTGCTGTTAAAAACAGTCAGATATAATAACAGTGCTTTAAAATGATTGTTTATTAAATAAAAGCAACAACAATCTGTACTCTCAGCGCGCTGCCATCTTATATTAACTGAGCAGGGAGTGGGGTGGTGGGGGCTCCAAGCCTATATTTGCCTTGGTGCCCAAATGCCTTGATACGGCCCTGGATGTGGGACTGACTTCTGGGGTGATCTGATTCTATCACATGTATAAATATTAAATGCTTATATATGATTGCTTTCCACTGGTAAAAATGTGCGTTGGGGATAAATCTACCTACTTTTTTTCTTTTCAAGCACTTTGTTTAGTTTTCTTGATTTTATGTGAATTATTTCCGGCCCTTTCTCTCTATAACCTTCCTGCATGCTGCATGTTTTCTCCGTCTTCCAGAAAAACTGTAAACTAGATTTCCTACTTTCTAACTAATCAGCCAAAGGGCTCTACCGAACGCAAAAAAAAGCTTAATATGCGCTGCGCTCCAGCAGCAATGAGTTGAAATCACCGGGGCACAGATTATGAACTCAGCTGAAAAGTACATGAAGTACCAGAGAATAGGGGCTGATATAAACGATCGCAAACGAATTACTTTGTTGTGGTGGAGCGATTTAGTGAATATAACAGCGGCCGCGTGCAGGACGCAGCTGGAGTGTTTGAGCCGTTACCGCTGCGTCCTCTCTGCTCATAGAATGCCCGCAAAGCTGAGTCCATAAATGACGTCATATATGTGGATACTGGATCTTTTTTCAGGCTTTCTGCTATTTGAATTTTTAGGAAACCCACATCTTGATTCTGGGTTTAAAAATGAATTGTAATTACCGCGTTACTGACAATTGTACCGAGTAAATATTACCATTATCTTTCCCTGTAATGCCTTACATTACCACATTACAGCAAAAAGCATTGCATTACAGTAATTAATTACTTTTGTACCACGCTACTCCCAACACTGCCTCCCTGTAATCCTTTAAAATGGCTTTGGCTCTCCAAAACTTCAGCTCTTGTTCCTGAGAAATTTCTGTAAATGATTCTTTGTCTGAAAGACGCTGAAAACTCACCGACCAGTTGATGCTCAGCAGTTGAAGGAATCATCTCTCAGGTCCAGGCTCAGGGCTCTGATGGATCCGTTACCTTCAGATTGTGATTTTAGGTCGGAAACATCTTTTGTTACTGTTGACTTGATAAAAAGGCCAAGTTTATCTCCCCATGCAGGCTCATCCCTTGAGTTAAGAGCTTTGTTTAGCTCGAGTAACTCCCAGGTCAAAGTTCAAAGCACTTTTCTAAAATGGAGTGCTGCTGTTGAAACAATTTTGGAATGATTTGTCTAATTTTAGAAATATTGAATATTAAAAGTTTCACCCAGAACTTTAAGGAAATTTAAGGGACTCCAACGGAGACAAACCAGGCCCAGCTGACCTTGTCTGAGTAGATGGACATGCGCGTCGTCAGGCCGACCACTGGGATGCGGTAGAAACCGGCAGTGTAGGAGACGGGAGTTGGAGTCAGGTGGTCGTTGGACTGTGGAGGATGACTCACCAGGATGGCATAAACCTGAAGAAGAAGGAGATGTTCACTGATGGTTTCCACAACAGGGTCTTTCCTTAAAGTACATTTCTACAGTGAAACACAAACTCCATAAGAACCTTCAAGATTCCTAAACACACGCATTCAGGAAGTGGATCTGAGGTCCACACAGGAAACAATCAAACTCTCTAAAACCGTGATTGTGTTGATGGTGGTGAAGATGATGGTTTTAATGGTGTTACAGGCAGTGAATGGGGTGGTCCCTGCCTATTTGTCACAGGGTTCCTGTTCGGGCACTCCGCTCTGAGAACCACTCGCTGCTCTCGGTTCCCAGAGCTCAGCTGAAGACAAGAGGGGATAGGGAGTTCTCGGCAGCGGGACCGAGACCATGGAAAGCCCTTCCCTTAGCTGTTGGGGTCTCCCCATCAGTAGACGTTTTTAAAATGAGGTTAAAGACCGACGTTATGATCTGGCTTTTTACTCCGTGGGTTTGCTGTTGTTTTGACATGCTCTTACCCTGTTAGGTTTACTTTGTTGGTTTTTAATTCATGATGGCGATGGTGGTGATGATGATGATGATGATGGTCATGGTGACAATTATGGTGATGACAATGGTAATGATGATGAAGATGATGGTGATGATGATGGTGAAGGTGAAGGTGATGATGATGAAGATGATGGTGGTGAAGATGATGATGATGATAAAGATGACGATAATGAAAATGATTGTGGCAATGGTGATGATGATGGTGGTGGTGGTGGTGATGATGACGATGGTGATTATAATTATGGTGATGATGGTGATGGTGACAATTATGGTGATGACAATGGTAATGATGATGAAGATGATGGTGATGATGATGGTGAAGGTGAAGGTGATGATGATGAAGATGATGATGATGAAGATGATGGTGATGATGATGGTGAAGGTGAAGGTGATGATGATGAAGATGATGGTGGTGAAGATGATGATGATGATGATAAAGATGACGATAATGAAAATGATTATGGCAATGATGATGATGATGGTGGTGGGGGTGGTGGTGATGACGACAACGATGATGATGAGGATGATGGTCATGGTGACAATTATGGTGATGACGATGGTAATGATGATGAAGATGACGGTGATGATGGTGATGATGGTGGTGATTATAATTATGGTGATGATGGTGGTGGTGGTGGTGATGATGACGATGGTGATTATAATTATGGTGATGATGGTGATGGTGACAATTATGGTGATGACAATGGTAATGATGATGAAGATGATGGTGATGATGATGGTGAAGGTGATGATGATGAAGATGATGGTGGTGAAGATGATGATGATGATGATAAAGATGACGATAATGAAAATGATTATGGCAATGATGATGATGATGATGGTGGTGGGGGTGGTGGTGATGACGACGACGATGATGATGAGGATGATGGTCATGGTGACAATTATGGTGATGACGATGGTAATGATGATGAAGATGACGGTGATGATGGTGATGATGGTGGTGATTATAATTATGGTGATGATGGTGGTGGTGGTGGTGATGATGACGATGGTGATTATAATTATGGTGATGATGGTGATGGTGACAATCATGGTGATGACAATGGTAATGATGATGAAGATGATGATGATGGTGGTGGTGATGGTGATGGTGATGATTATGAAAATGATTGTGGCGAAGATGACGACGGTGATTATAATTATGGTATTGATGATGATGAGGAGGATGATGATGATGATGATGAGTATGATGAGAATGATGGTCATGGTGACAACTATGGTAATGATGATGAAGATTACGACTACGGTGGTGGTGATGATGATGATGATTAAGGTAATGATGAGGATGAGGCTGGTGATGACGATGGTAATGATGATGAAGATGACGAAGGTGGTGATGATGATGATGATGATGATGATGATAGTGGTGATGACGACGATGATGATGATGGTGATCATAATTATGGTGATGATGATGATGAGGATGATGATGAGTATGATGAGGATGATGGTCATGGTGACAATTATGGTGATGGTGATGTAATGATGATGAAGATGACGATGGTGGTGGCGGCGATGATGATGAGGATGATGATGATGATTAAGGTAAAGCTGAGGATGAGGATGGTGATGTAATGATGATGAAGATGACGGTGATGATGGTGGTGATTATAATTATGTTGATGATGCTGATGGTGACAATTATGGTGACGGTGATGGTAATGATGTTGAAGATGACGATGGTGGTGGCGGTGATGATGATGATGATGATTAAGGTAATGATGAGGATGTGGATGTGATGGTAATGATGATGAAGATGACGGTGATGATGGTGGTGATGATGGTGGTGATTATAATTATGGTGATGATGGTGATGGTGATGATGGTGAAGATGACGGTGGTGGTGGTGATGATGATGATGATGATGATGATGATGATGATGATGATAAAGATTATTATAATTATGGTGATGATGATGATGATGATGATGATGATGATGATGATGATGATAAAGATTATTATAATTATGGTGATGATGATGATGATGATGATGATAAATATGATTATAATCATGGTGATGATGATGATGATGGTGATGATGATAAAGATAATTATAATTATGATGATGATGATGATGATGGTGATGATAAAGATAATTATAATTATGATGATGATGATGATGATGATTATGATGATGATGATGATGATGATGATGATTATGATGATGATGATGATGATTATGATGATGATGATGATTATGATGATGATGATAATTATAATTATGATGATGGTGAGGATGATGATGATGATTATGATGATGATGATGATGATGAAGATGATTATGATGATGATGATGATGATGATGATAATTATAATTATGATGATGGTGATGATGATGATGATGATGATGATGATTACAGTGATAAAGATGATTATAATTATGGTGATGATGGTGATGATAGTGGTGATTATAATTATGGTGATGATGGTGATGATAAAGATAATTATAATTATGATGATGATGATGATGATTATGATGATGATGATGATGATGATGATGATGATGATGATGATAATTATAATTATGATGATGGTGGTGATGATGATGATGATGATTACAATGATAAAGATGATTATAATTATGGTGATGATGATGATGATGATGATGATGATGATGATGATGATGATGATGATAGTGGTGATTATAATTATGGTGATGGTGGTGATGATAAAGATGATTATAATTATGGTGATGATGATGATGATGATGATGGTGATGAAGATGATGATGATGTGATGATGGTGATGATAAAGATGATTATAATTATGATGATGATGATGATGATGATGATGATAGAGGTGATTATAATTATTGTGATGAAGATGATGATGATGGTGATGAAGATGATGATGATGTGATGATGGTGATGATAAAGATGATTATAATTATGGTGATGATGATGATGATGATGATGATGATGATGATGATAGAGGTGATTATAATTATGGTGATGAAGATGATGATGATGGTGATGATGGTGATAATGACGATTACAATTATGGTGATGATGATGATGATGATGATGATGATGATGATGATTACAATGATGATGATAAAGATGATGACGACGATGATGATAGTGGTGATTATAACTTTGGTGATGATGATGATGGTGATGATAAAGATGATTATAATTATGATGATGATGATGATGATAGAGGTGATTATAATTATGGTGATGAAGATGATGATGATGGTGATGATGGTGATGATGATTACAATGATGATGATAAAGATGATGACGACGATGATGATAGTGGTGATTATAACTTTGGTGATGATGATGATGGTGATGATAAAGATGATTATAATTATGATGATGATGATGATTACAATGATGGTGATAAAGATGATGATGAAAAAGGTGATGATGATGATGATGATGATGATGATGATGATGATGATGATGATGATGATGATGATGATGATGATGATGATAAAGATGATGATAAAGATGATGATGAAAAAGGTGATGATGATGATGATGATGATGATGATGATGATGATGATGATGATGATGTGACGATGTCAGTAGATGTCTCTTTTCTCTGATGATGTCACGCCCAGTTTTAGCTCTACATATTTCATTAGTTAGTTGTTCTGAAATATCCCAGCTGACGTTTGGAGCCTGAAGACAACGATTTGAGTGACAGCTGTGTGACATCAGACCTGCCCAGTTATCACAGGGAATAAATGTATTTATTTTATATAAAAAATCTGCAGCGCCTGAATAATCCCTCCATCTCTCCTCTGGGAGGATTTAATCTGTGCACTCAGGATGTTAATCTGCCATCGTTCTCTGCAGCACAAAGCCTCAATCCAACCCACCGCCATGTTGGCCTCGTTTCCTCCAAAAAGGAAGCGGAGAAACTTCTCTGCTGGTCTCTCCGACCTCGGGTTGAGCCTTCGACAGACTCGGAACTGAGTGAAGACAATTTCATGTCTGATCTCTTTCTGTGGCTCTTAGTGTGAGAAGTTTGGAGACGGTGACATGTTGCAGCTCTCAGGATGTTTTAGCACCTTTATTTCTATCTTGCTATTACTGCAGTCTCTCTCGGGATTTTAGAGCTTCCAGCTGTTTATTCCCTTCAAACGCGTTGGAAGTTTTTTTCTCCCACAGTCCGTCGGACTTTTGAGAGCAGCCGTGTCGGGATTCAGCTTCAGTGAAACATGAAGGAAGCGTTTCACGTGAACTCATTCTGTCACGTCTGCTTTAGTTTTTCTAATCGTGTTTATTAAATATTGTTTTTGCGAAACGGTCTGAGACGTTTGTGCCTTTCAATATCTCAAAATCAGAAAACAAGTCAGACGAGACAAGTCAGGAAATTCCAACATCCTGCCGATGGACATCAGAGTGAAAGGTGCAAAATTCAAATGGAATTTCTTAAAGAGCAAGTCACCCCCTACAAGAAACTTACTTCACTCCCACTTCATGTTTGAAAAATGCAACAAATGCTGTTGCTTGGCAGACCAAGAGGGCGGAGCCGCTAACAAATACACACAGGCTCACAATGGCATTATGACATCATAATGTACCAGATGACATCATAGCATACCTCTTAGCCAATAGCGGTGGCAGATTTAAATTCAAATACAGTGCAGAATTTTCCCCTGACGACGGTGCAACACTGACAGTTTTAGGCAGAATATTTGAATTTTAACCAAGATGCACTGAACTGCCAAATTATTGACTACACGTGTCTGTAGCATGATTAGACACTCCTTTATATAGTTTATCAGCAAAAAAAATGAGATTTGGGGGTGACTTGCTCTTTAAAACTGGTTTATTTAAAGAGCAAGTCACCCCCTACAAGAAACTTACTTCACTCCCACTTCGTGTTTGAAAAATGCAACAAATGCTGTTGCTTGGCAGACCGAGAGGGCGGAGCCACTAACAAATACACACAGGCTCACAATGGCATTATGACATCATAATGTACCAGATGACATCATAGCATACCTCTTTGCCAATAGCGGTGGCAGATTTAAATTCAAATACAGTGCAGAATTTTCCCCTGACGACGGTGCAACACTGACAGTTTTAGGCAGAATATTTGAATTTTAACCAAGATGCACTGAACTGCCAAATTATTGACTACACGTGTCTGTAGCATGATTAGACACTCCTTTATATAGTTTATCAGCAAAAAAAATGAGATTTGGGGGTGACTTGCTCTTTAAAACTGGTTTATTTAAAGAGCAAGTCACCCCCTACAAGAAACTTACTTCACTCCCACTTCGTGTTTGAAAAATGCAACAAATGCTGTTGCTTGGCAGACCGAGAGGGCGGAGCCACTAACAAATACACACAGGCTCACAATGGCATTATGACATCATAATGTACCAGATGACATCATAGCATACCTCTTTGCCAATAGCGGTGGCAGATTTAAATTCAAATACAGTGCAGAATTTTCCCCTGACGACGGTGCAACACTGACAGTTTTAGGCAGAATATTTGAATTTTAACCAAGATGCACTGAACTGCCAAATTATTGACTACACGTGTCTGTAGCATGATTAGACACTCCTTTATATAGTTTATCAGCAAAAAAAATGAGATTTGGGGGTGACTTGCTCTTTAAAACTGGTTTATTTAAAGAGCAAGTCACCCCCTACAAGAAACTTACTTCACTCCCACTTCGTGTTTGAAAAATGCAACAAATGCTGTTGCTTGGCAGACCGAGAGGGCGGAGCCACTAACAAATACACACAGGCTCACAATGGCATTATGACATCATAATGTACCAGATGACATCATAGCATACCTCTTTGCCAATAGCGGTGGCAGATTTAAATTCAAATACAGTGCAGAATTTTCCCCTGACGACGGTGCAACACTGACAGTTTTAGGCAGAATATTTGAATTTTAACCAAGATGCACTGAACTGCCAAATTATTGACTACACTTATCTGTAGCACGATTAGACACTCCTTTATATAGTTAATCAGCAAAAAAATGTGATTTGGTGGTGACTTGCTCTTTAAACAAAAATCATACAAAGATGGCTGCAGCTTCTAATTTTAATGCTTTGGTTTGAAAATATGAAGACAAATATTGTGTCTCAAAAGGTCTGACGTCTAATTTTTAGCCTGTAAAGAAATGTTCTTCAACTCATTAAAGACGAAATTGTAAAAAATAGTAAAGAGTCTTTTTATAAAACAAATAAAGGAATACAAATTCTTCACATTTATATTATTTTTTGAAGTTTGAAATGTGAATGAATTGTCAATTCAACCTGATGACAGTGAAAAATTACTGAACTGCACAAAAACGAATATTTAAAAGCAACGAAGAAGAGAGAATTTAGTCCTTTAAAGGTGATTATTTCTGATTTTATTGGGTCACTGAGTTTTTCATGCAGGCTGAACATGGAAAATAGTCTCCTACACCTCTCCTGCATTAGCTTCTGCTAGAAAATTGACGTGAACTCTAGGATTGGAAAAACTTGACAGATCTACATCACACTGTGAACTGGCGTGCGTGGACTCCCACATCTTGACTCATGACGTGGAAGGCTGTTGCTGGTTTAATGTCCAGGAAATCAGCAGCGATCGTCTCAGCTAGCTAACCGTTAGCATTAGCAGCTTCACCACACGGCAGAAGCTCCATAAGGCTTGTGCTATTTGTGGAGATGAAACATCCATGTTTCAAGTCAGTGGTAGAGTCACATGGCTGTTATCCAATCAGAGGCGAGATGTTCAGATATCAGGAAATAAGACACCAGACCCTGCTGTCTGAAGCTCAGCTGTGATGTGGGCAACTTTTAATTCAATTCAACTCAAGTTTATTTATATAGCGCCAAATCACGACAAAAGTCGTCGCAAGGACCTTCACATAATAAACATTCCAATACAGGTCAGTTAATTAAGCCAATCAGAAAAAAAGTTTCCTATGAGGAACCCAGCAGGTTGCATCAACAACAATCCTCATACTAAGCAAGCATTTAGCGACAGTGGAGAGGAAAACTCCAGAGGACCCTGGCTCAGTATAGACCCTTTTACTACCTACGTCATCAAAAGTTGCGTGCGCAGCCTGGCAACGAGAGTGAAGGCTTCCTCATTCACACTCGATACTAAAACAGCGTTTTAAACCCTTTGTTTTGAAGTTCTGAGCACATAAAAATGTCGGGTTGTTGCGTGTGTGGATGCCAGAATCGCTTCTCTTCAAGCAGTGGACTGAAACTTTACAGAATTCCGAAGGGAGCACATCCATTTCAACAAAATCGGAGGCGTCTGTGGCTGCAGGCCATCAAAAGGGTAATTGCAGCCTTTCCTGTTTTCCCCATCCTAACACAACGCTCAACTTTGAATAAAATTGCTGCTGCGTGGCTGCAGCATGACCCAAGTCTGGAACATCAAAATGACAGAATTAAACAAATTTATACGCTTTATTTCATGCTTCAAATTAACATTTCATTCTAATTCATCTGTATTTTCCCACTGCATATTAGTATAAACTGTATTTCTCTAAAATTAGCACGATTGTACTCTGAGCACGCTAAAAAAAGAAACCTATGCTATACTCACCCTGCCATGCAGGTACAGTTGGCTGTGAAGACGTAGTTCTCTGGTTTGTTTACTACGACCCAAGCCTCGTACGTAGCAGTCTTGTGTCCTTGTCTTTGGCTAGGAAGGACTTCTGCCTTCAAGACGCAAAACTCAGAGTCTATGTGGTGATGTTTTACTTTCTGTACGTGGCCACAGACAACATAGTTGTATGCATCTAACGATTTGTATACCCGTAGCTTCTCACGTGTGTACTTACTGGGCCTCTCCACTAAAAACGTATATATATCGGGCCACCGGATATCTGGCCACGCACCTACATCTTTCACCCATTCCGTAATGCCACAGGGATCCGGGAGTCTGTTGCCATTCGTTAAAGTGAGTTTAATAATATAACATTCAAGATTTGCCGGTGATAACCCCGCAGCGTAGCTAGATCAAGCCTGAAACAACGCCGTTCTCTCGCTGACGTCATATTGTTTACAAACAGTAAAAGGATCTATAAGCAGCCATACACCATGACTCACTGGGCATGAAGACAGAGCAGACACACACACACACACACACACACACACACACACACACAAGTAGTGTTTCTATGGTTACATTGTGATTTCTTAGTAAATATTCTATTTGGTGAGAGATAAACTTTATTGTATTTATCCTAGTGGATCTATAGTTAAACGGGTAAACTAGTAGTAGCACATCCAACGTCAAAGAGAGTAAAGTGTTATTATCAGGAGAGGGAGAACGTTTAAGTGGCCAGAGAAAAGGTGCACCGGTAAATTCGTTCCCCCTGAGAATGATTTGCGAGGCATTCATTCCTACCAGAGACCACTGCAGATGTGTGGATTTCCCTCTGGGATTAATAAAGTATCTTTGAATTAAACAGGAAATCTACAAACTGCCCAAAAAGTGAAATTGTTGTAGAGTGGAACCCAAGTGGTTTATTACCATCCAAACGCCACAGAAACATTAAATGTTAAATCACAAACTCTAAAAATTAAATAAACAAGATGTGTGATCACGTGACCTGCTGCCTGGTTGCACACCCTTTGGATGCTAAGCTAACTGTGTGGCGGAAGTCACGTGACCACCTCACCTGATGGGAGATGAGGTCCTCACATACGGACAGTGCCATCTGGATGGCGTTGGGTTTGTGTGTGACGGAGATGGCGTTCATCTTGAATTTGTCCTTCCCGTAGAGGGCGTTGGCCTGAGTCACTGCCTCCTTAAACACCTGCTCGTAGCGCTTCTGACTCAGAACGGCGCCGACGTTGATCTGGCGGGGCTCACAGCCACCCAGAGCCACCGAGCAGCAGTGTAGCACGGCCAGGAGCAGCACGCCGTGAACCTCCACTGCAAAAACAGCAAGCATCAGTCAGTCAGTCAGTGGGGGGGGGGGGGGGGGGGGGGGGTCTGCTGGTCAGATACTGACTCTCAGTGAAAGTTCTGAAGTGCAGAACCAGGCTGGCCCAGTAGGTGTCAGCTGAACCCTGGTGCAGGTGCAGGTTCTGTCCTTTTTTATTTTTTTTACTAAACTTCATCCTCAGAACTTCTCATCTGAACATTTTTCTGGTGATTCTGACATCAGAATCTGTTTACATGGATGTTTCAGCTCTAAAACACCGGTTCTCTCTGGCTCCTGAGTCCAGGAACCAGAACCAAACCTACAGACCCAGATCATACTCACTGCTGCTGCGGGTCCGTCCTTGCAGGTTCTGGTTCTGGAGTGACAGCGGGTTCAGGACCCACTTCGCGGCTCCGTTGGTCTCCTGCTCCGGTTCGGGTCCCCCCACCCCCACCCACCCACCCCCAGTGATCCCAGGATGGATCAGCAGGTCACGTTCCGGTTCGGTGGCTCGGTTCTGTCAGGTTAAGGGTTTCATTCAAATGAGTTTTTAAACGCTTAGCCGATCTGGTTCCGTTTGGGTCTCTGAAAATTCAGACTGTGGTTCTGGTAGAGTGTACGCAGACGCGGTTCTGTTTGTGCGGATTAGAGACCGGACCCGCGGGTTCGGTGTCGGTTCGTCCTGTTGATTCAGCGCGGCTCTGTTGGCTTTGCCAGCCGCTGGGTTCCAGGTTCGGTTCCGACTCTTCTCTCGTGGACCCAGCGGTTCTGATTCCTCTAAGTCGGTTCTGGCTCGTGATGCTGGAGGACTTTCGGGTGACCTGATGCTCGCGAGCCCGAGACTCTGTCCTAGGATCAGTGATGCGCGCTCCCGTGTGCAGGCGCGTTCTCCAGCAGAGGAGAGGCGCGCGACAGTCAGTGCAGACACAAGCGTGATGTTTGAATCACCACGTGAGTAATGAGCGCATCAATCGGGTCACGTGATAATCATCAAACGTTAGTGATCGTTTTTAGTTCTGATCTTGCACCAGAACTCCTGACCCGATCCACAATCCCGATCCTGTCCTCGGATCTGGCCCAAGATTCCTGAACCAGTCTCCTTGACATGTTGACGCGTGCGTGCGTGTGTGTGCGCGCGTGCGTGTGTGTGCGTGTGTGTGTGAGTGTGTGTGTGTGCAGCAGCAACAGCAGGAGCAGGAATGTGATCTGTCACCATTCTTCAAGTTCTTAAATCACATCAGCTGAGCTGCTTCCAGAAAGCCCAACAGGTTACCGTGGCAACGAGGAGGCAGCGCCAGTCCTCTGAATATGGTTCCTATGGAAACAGGCATCTCTGGCCCTCATTACCAGTCACACCCTCCTCTGCCTGATTTTAATCTCAGCATTTACACGTTCACACATAAGTGCCCATGCAGGTGAGCGGGCTTCAGCGGCCTCAGAACGCTTGTGAAAAAGTGATCCAATCAGAGAACTTGTCCCAGCAGGTGGGTCGAACCCTTCACCTTTTGTTGAAGGATACAGGATGGATGTTCGGCAACTGCCCCTAAGGCTCACGGGTAACGCAGTCCTCTAAATGTTCATTTGTGCTTTTCATTAAATATGATCTTTACTCTCTGTGTGTGTGTGTGTGTGTGTGTGTGTGTGTGTGTGTGTGTGTGTGTGTGTGTGTGTGTGTGTGTGTGTGTGTGTGTGTGTGTGTGTGTGTAAATGTCTCAGTAGCTCCTCCTCACTGATGTTGATGTCACCACCCAGTCCTTAGAGTCTGTTCTCAGCTGTGATCTTAAAGTAGGACACGTATGACTACTGCGTTCAGCATCATGAGGAGGCCTTCCATTAGCTTCCAGGCCACTGAGTACACACACACACACACACACACACACACACACACACACACACACACAGAGTTGGCAGAGTGATGCATGCTGGGACATCTTTGTTGCCCACTGACTCCTCAGGGCTGGTGTCTGTGAGAGTTGCTTAGTTCAACCATCAGACACAGGTGTGTGTTTGTGTGTGTGTGTGTGTGTGGGGGGGGGGGGGGGGGGGGGGGGGGTCTAAACTCAAATCACCATGGTAATCAGACACACTTCTTCTCCGAAGGAGGTGATGGACAAACCACTCCTGTGGTTCTGGTTCCAATGCTGTGGTTTTGGTCCTGGTTCCGGTTATGATCCAAGCTTTGGTTCTGGTCCTGATCTCAAACATGGAAAACAAACGTCTGTTACCAGCCGAGTTCGGACCTAGAGGGGAAATTACGGAGTAGATCAGAGGCCTGACTGGTGTCTGCTACCCTCTGCTGGAGAAAGCTACTCATTGCAGATCTGAGGTAATTTGGGATATTGACTTAAAAAAACACAAAAACGAAATAAATCTGAGAGACAGATGGAAGTGTGGGGTCCAAGTGAACAAAAACAGGAAATAGAACATTTGGCACACCCGTGGTGACATCAAGGTTCTCGACCAGACTCAGGGGTCATCAGTTTGTCCTGTAACTGGTGGGTTTCCAGTTCAAACCCTGGCTCTGTGTCACCTCATGGTGGAGGACGGAGGTCTCATCCAGCGCAGCTGTGGCTATGTCACCCCTGCCACATGGACCCAAGGGATAAACCATCAACCCTGCTCAATGGTCAACTTTCCTCGCGGGGTCACACCCATTAGAACAGTGGGAGGGTTAAAGAGCAAGTCACCCCCTACCAAAGTCAGGGTTAGGGTAAAAGGGGGGGATGGGAAAATAAATCACAAACATGATTTTATCACGATTTTTTCTATTTTGACTATTCACACGTTTTGGAAGTTATTAACCATTAAAATACTTAAATTCTAAATTATATCCCTTCACTGAAAATAGAATAAAAAATTTCAGAATCCTAAAACAAATCTCAAAATTCCATTATCTATCTCTCCATCTCTCTCTCTTTCTCTATCTACAGTTGACAGCATCGACATATAAATATTGGACAATGGGTTTCCATAGGCTCCAATAACACGTTTTTGTACTAAAATGGGAGGTGGCCACCACCGCCATTTTGACCGTGTCACAGGTTCCGTCAAGCCCAGACAATTCCACACAAGGGAAGAGAGGTGGAGCTGAGGGTGGGGCTGTAAGGCTGGGATCAACTGACGACACCCGGTCGAACTAGCTACAAGCTAACCTGAAGCTAACCCAAAGCTAACACGGAGGTGGGAGCTAAGCTAACGGAGGTAGCAACCTAGCTACAACCAGAGTTAACTGTGCACAACACCAGAGCTTCTGAGTCAGAGATACGCCGGGCTGACCGCTGGGTAAAACCGGGTGGAACACAGAGGTCTCAGAGAGCTCCACAAGCCGGCAGCCGTACAGCAGACAAGCGCCGCTGCGATCTGAGATGCGCAGAGCTGCCGCTGGGGAGAACCGGGTGGAAAGGTTTCCATCCCAGAGCTCCACAAGCCGTCAGCCCGCGCAGCACACAGAAGCCGCAATCAGACAGAGATGTGCCGAGCTGTGGGGAGAAGTGGCTTATTTTGGCGGTTCTGGCTTGCCATAAGAACCAGCCGTCAGCCCGCGCAGCTAACAGAAGCCGCAATAAGACAGAGATGGACCGGGCTGCGGGGAGAAACAGCCGGCATTCCGGGTGGAAAACATCGGTCTCCCAAGTGCTCCACAAGCCGATAGTCGGAACCCAGCTCCACCAACATGTTATATTTCAACCCATTTTCTAAAGTGGTTAAACAGTACATGTTAAAATCTAAGCTCAGCTCGGCAGTGACCTAAAATACATAAATATAATTTTACTTACCGAAAAAAATGAAGTGGAGACTCCTTGGACGCTCTATTAGTGCAATTAATGCCACAGCAAGTCATTTTGTCCAAAAATTGCACAAATAATATCCAAAAAAGAATACACACACACAGAGACTCAAAATCCTGGAGCAGTTTCCAGGCCAGACCGAGGCTCTACTGAGGCCTTTCCACGGAGCTAGCTCTGTGGTCACGTGGGTCTGATGCTCATTAATTATACAGAATTTTAGGCTTTTAATACACTTAAACAGAAGAGTGAGAAAAACATTCACCCCCCTCAGAGTTGTCATGAGTGTAAACTAGATCATTTAAACCAAAAACATGTTCTGGTACCAGGCTGTAAACATGTTTATTTCTGCTGTGAAATTGGTATTTTTAACATGGGAGTCAATGAGGATTTGCTCGCTTCTGACACCAGCCCCTAGTGGATGAGGGTGGAACTGCAATTTATTTCATTTCCAGGTTTGCTTCAAATTTTCACCCGCATTGTGGGGGCTTGGTTGAGAGCTGGACACATGAGGCTCAAATATCCCACAGGCACTTTCATTTAAATATGTTTATGATTAATGTAAATAATTAAAATTGTATCTACGGGGGCTCATATCCTTTCATCCACAACATAACCAGTAATTATTTCTTTTCCAGAGGAAAAAAAAAATCTGTTACGTTAAGCTAAATTCTTCATGCATCTTCATCTCATGCGTTCTCTAGTCAGGATTACACTACCTACACTCACTATCTGTCCCTCACTACTCTCCGTAGCGGTTTCCTGATCATGCGGGAGAGGGGTTTGGCATAAACAACATTCCGGTTGGCAGCCATGCTGAAAAGGCTCGCTAAAACACACACAAATGTCTCCAAATAATAAAAGACACTAAGCTAAATGCAACGTTTAGAGCAGAGCATTGACCCAGAGGTTCCCTGATCAAGCAGAAGCGTGAGAATACGCTTAATGACCGATTAGAGACGGAACAAGCTAGTGGCTAATGCTAACAGCTAGCCACTATAATCGAGTATGGCATGCTTCTTCAAAGATTCATAATCGTTTAAGTTCGCGTCTTAATGCATCGATTGTTAGATAATTTTCCGCAGCTCTACCGAGCACCCCAGCTAAACAAACCAACACACTGCCTAAACTTGCTATTGATGTGTTTGTCGTGCCGACAGAAGCAGACTAGCAAATAGCTTGACTCGGCTGAGAAAAGATGTGTCAGTAGACCAATTTTTGGTAAATCGTCATCTCATTACAATCCTTAACGGTCTTATATCGCCAGATTGCTCAGCCCTACCCAGAGTCTTACTCCAATCCCACTTCCTGTTTGAAAAATGCAATAAATGCTGTTGCCTGGCAGACCGAGAAGGCAGGGCCGCTAACAAATACACACACACAGGCTCACAAAGACATTGTGACATCATATGGTACCAGCTAACATCAAAGTGTACCTCTTAGCCAATATCAATAGAAGATTTAAATTCAAAAGTAGTGCAGAGTTTTTACCTTAAGAAGATGCAGCACTGACAATTTTAGGCAGAATATTTAAATTTGAACTAAAATGCACTAAAGTGCCAAATCATCTCGTACACGTGTCTGCTATACGATTAGACCCTCATTTATATAGTTTATCAGCAAAAATTTGATTTGGGGGTGACTTGCTCTTTAAAGCGAGTCACAACATGTAGCTAAAAGTGGGCCAGAACATTAAGTAGATAAACCCAATCAGAACACCACACAGTTAAGGCAGGCCAGAAAATCACGGGTCAGAACACTAAATAGATAAAATGAGAAGGAAACACCACGTAGATAACCGACGTCAAAACTTCACGTGGATAAAGCAAGTCAGAATATCACGTGGTTAAAACATCACGTAGAGAAAACCGATCAGAACACTACGTTGTTAAAGCGGGTCAAAACAGAACATAGTTAAAGCAAGTCCGAATATCACGTAGTTAAAGTGGGTCAGAACACCAGCTGGCGTTTGCAAATCCTACTCGTGTCGAACTCGTACTCACAGATATTTTTAACAAACTATGATAAAGTTCACAATTTGTACCTGTTGTTTATAAATCAGACTGCTGATATTCAGACGTCAGTTAGCAGGAATGCGTGAGATAAAAGTATACACGTGTCAGACTGAGACTCGGTTTTAGTGGATTCTTGAATTTTTTATTTTTCTGATTTAAATAATGACTCAAACAAGCTTGTTTTGAAGAATAACCTGAACATCTCGGTGACTCCTCCTCCCGAGAAGCGGGAGGAGTTAATAGCACAGGGCTAAACGTTAGCGTGTGAAGCAGGCTCAGCGCCTCTGTCAGAAGGAGGAAGTGTTCTGAGGAGGAGGTCACAGAGCTAAAATAAGACTTCCTGTTCACAGATTTCTCAGCAGGTTCCATTTGCAGCTTTGTAAAAATAGAACACACACTGGTGAATGTGTGTTTTCTTCACAATAATAATGGCTTTGTGATTTCGACCAAAGGGGACGCTGGTTCTAGATTCTGTCCCAAAGATGCACTAAAAAGCATCTAGTGATCCTAATCAGCCTACATGAGGCTCAAAATTCTGAATTTTTTTTCTCAGTCTGTGACTGTGTCATTTCCAACAGCAGTAAAATACATTTTCTGGTCCTTGAACCCATTGCTAAATGCTAATTCAGACTAGCATGTGAACATTTTCTGTTGCTGTGACATAAGGCAGAACTGGTGCATCTTTATTTGAAGATGTGGTGATGGTGGTTCAGTCATTTGGAGTTTGCCTTGTAACCAGACAGTTGCCGGTTAGAATCCAGCTGCTTTAGGGGCTCGACACACGGGAAAGGACAAACGACCGCGATCAGCGAAATTCGTTGCTGCCGCTTTTATTATCTGACACACGGGAGGTGACCCGCGGCAGCGGCCAGCGGCAAAGCCGTTGTCGGTACAAGATCTGCACGGGTGCAAGATTGGCTCGGGGTCCTTCGACTGCTGATGACGTCAAAGTACGGCAAACCGACTCGGACAAAATACACTGCACATCTTTATACTGTTGGAAAGAATTTAACAGTTTCGTTATTAAAATAATGTTTCTTACGACGTAAGTTTGTGTTTATAATGGTGTTTGTAAAATAAAACACTATATTGTATTCATGATGTTGAACTCCTCTTTGAGCACATCCCTTGAAGGATCATAGGTACTAGCAACACCTGTGAAATTATATTTGCAGGAAAGAAGTGTGTCCCGTTTATTGAAGTATTTTGTGTTTAGAGTTTTTGACGTCTTGTCCATGCGTAGTTCAGGTACGCTCATAGCTGCTAGCCAAAACTCTGGAGTTAAAAGTTTTCTTGCTTTACTAAAATACCTGTCTGTACTTATTTAATTGATGGTAGTTTTACTTTCTATTAGACTCCAAATGTAATCATTTGGCACGTTTCTAATTCATAATTTGTAAGAATGTAATTGGTGATTTTAGCATTAGCATTCCTATGGGTTTTTCCATGTATATTAGCATTGCGCTAACCACTCGCTGCCAAATTGCAGCCTTTGCGATTAGAAAATCTCCTTTTGTCACATCGCAATTTAATTGCACATGCAGTTAATCGTTCAGCCCTAATATACATGCAGCTCTATGCTAAAAGTGTATTTTCAAAGAGGTAAAGATTGGTTTCTTTGTAAAAGTTGTCCGTCTTTCCAACAAAAAGATTTGCCTGGACCAACGTAACGTGATTACGTAACTTCCGTAAGGTTTATGTTCAGCCAATCAACTACTTTGACGTCATCGGCAGTCGAAGGAGCCCGAGCCGATCCTGTACCGACACAGTCGACACGTTCTGTTCCATTGCGAAATTGAAACTTCCGTTGTTTTGTTTGGCTGTGTCAGGTTGGAGGGAATTAAGGTTATTTAAGCGGTTCAGAGTTAATAAAGTGGTAGATATGATGTTTCAAAAGATGCTGCTAGAGTTATGTGAAATCTTACTTGTGATTTTACTATAAAACATAATAATAATCAACTTCTCCTCCATGTTTGCTCGGAGGTGTACGGAGCATCCTGCCCGCTCATTGGTCAGTGAATGAAACCTCCGTTGATTGGTCCTCGTCCGAGCGACAACGATGAAAAGTTGAAAATGTTTCAGCTTTCTGGGATCGCGTCGCTGGGTCGCCTGTGCACGACACGTGCACGAGCACAAAATTTCACAAGCACGTTTTTCGCGTTTCGCTTGGTAGGAGGGAGACCCGCGATTATCGCTTTGTCGCGCATGTCTCGTTGAAAATGAATGGCGGAGAGGCGATGTCGCCTCCCGTGTGTCGAGCCCATAACGGTTCCCCTTTGAAAACGGCAAAAATGTTACTTTTACCTGGTTTTTGCTGACGTGTTGACTATCACTGTAGCTTTCCTCAGAAATAAACGAAGCGGTAGGTGATGCCACCAACAGCGGCAAAGCTCCGAGGAAGACTACAGTGATAGTCGTCAGCAAACACCAGGCGAAGATTACACTTTAGCAGAGTTAGAAAGAACCGTAATGTTGTCCTCTGTCCTTTTAGGAACCCAGAACCTGGTGGCAGACACAAAGTTCTGCTTCGATTAGATGGATTATTGCTTGTTTTGTCACTATCCCGTTAAACGCACTTATTTGACCCACATGCTCTGACTGATGGTTCTGATACCAGCAGAGACAACTCAAACACCCTGCAGAACCTTCAGTCAGAGGCAGCACATCAAGTCCACATGCTTCAGGAGATGTTTTTAACTAATTGTACAGTCTGTTGGTTCGGTTCTCCCTTGGACTGGATCAGGACCGGATAAGGAAGAGGACCATCCACAGGCCAGTCACTTCTTCAAACATCTCGTGTTTTCACACCCTGCAGTTTATAGAAGATCATTCTAAGAAGACATGTCTGAGAGTCCTGCAGGATTCACCCCCTGAGCGGACCTGGTCCGGTTGACTGCAGCAACCCAAACAAACTCTGACTGGATCCATATGGTCCTCCTCAGATGGAAATGGATCGGCACATGATGATAGTCAGTGCTGCAGGCTTATTTTATGTCAGGGAGACCTCAGAAAGGAGCTTGTCAGGTGAGAGGACAACCAGAACACCCACTGTAGGACACTTTGATCTGCTGTGAGAACCAAAACCAGTTAGACGGCCGGTCTAGCGTGGCCATCCAGAACAAAGATCTGCTGTGAGAACGTGGACAATTGACCTGACGGAAAAAAGGACAGATGTTCTCATGGACAGAAGGACAGATATACTGGTGGACAGATGGAGAGATGTTATCATGGACAGATGGAGAGATGTTCTCATGGACAGATGGAGAGATGTTCTCATGGACAGAAGGACAGATGTTCAAATGGACAGATGTTCTGATGGACAGAAGGACAGATGTTCAAATGGACAGATGTTCTGATGGACAGAAGGACAGATGTTCTCATGGACAGATGTTCTCATGGACAGATGTTCTGATGGACAGAAGGACAGATGTTCTGATGGACAGAAGGACAGATGTTCAAATGGACAGATGTTCTCATGGACAGATGTACTGGTGGACAGAAGGACAGATGTTCACATGGGCAGATGGACAGATGTTTTCATGGACAGATGTACTGGTGGACAGAAGGACAGATGTTCACATGGACAGATGTTTCCACGGACAGAAGGACAGATGTTCAAATGGACAGAAGGACAGATGTTCTGATGGACAGAAGGACAGATGTTCTCATGGACAGATGTTCTCATGGACAGATGTTCTGATGGACAGAAGGACAGATGTTCTGATGGACAGAAGGACAGATGTTCAAATGGACAGATGTTCTCATGGACAGATGTACTGGTGGACAGAAGGACAGATGTTCTCATGGACAGATGGAGAGATGTTCTCATGGACAGAAGGACAGATGTTCAAATGGACAGATGTTCTGATGGACAGAAGGACAGATGTTCAAATGGACAGATGTTCTGATGGACAGAAGGACAGATGTTCTCATGGACAGATGTTCTCATGGGCAGATGTTCTCATGGGCAGATGGACAGATGTTTTCATGGACAGATGTACTGGTGGACAGAAGGACAGATGTTCACATGGACAGATGTTTCCACGGACAGAAGGACAGATGTTCAAATGGACAGAAGGACAGATGTTCTGATGGACAGAAGGACAGATGTTCTCATGGACAGATGTTCTCATGGACAGATGTTCTGATGGACAGAAGGACAGATGTTCTGATGGACAGAAGGACAGATGTTCTCATGGACAGATGTTCTCATGGACAGATGTTCTGATGGACAGAAGGACAGATGTTCTGATGGACAGAAGGACAGATGTTCAAATGGACAGATGTTCTCATGGACAGATGTACTGGTGGACAGATGGACAGATGTTCTCATGGACAGATGTTCTCATGGGCAGATGGACAGATGTTTTCATGGACAGATGTACTGGTGGACAGAAGGACAGATGTTCACATGGACAGATGTTTCCACGGACAGAAGGACAGATGTTCAAATGGACAGAAGGACAGATGTTCTGATGGACAGAAGGACAGATGTTCTCATGGACAGATGTTCTCATGGACAGATGTTCTGATGGACAGAAGGACAGATGTTCTGATGGACAGAAGGACAGATGTTCAAATGGACAGATGTTCCCACGGACAGATGTACTGGTGGACAGAAGGACAGATGTTCTGATGGACAGAAGGACAGATGTTCTGAAGGACAGAAGGACAGATGTTCTGATGGACAGAAGGACATATGTTCTCATGGACAGATGTTCTCATGGACAGATGGACAGATGTTCTCATGGACAGATGGACAGATGTTCTCATGGACAGATGGACAGATGTTCTCATGGACAGATGTTCTGATGGACAGATGTTCTCATGGACAGATGGACATATGTTTCCACAGACAGATGTTCTCATGGACAGATGGATAGATGTTCTCATGGACAGATGTTCTCATGGACAGATGGACAGATGTTCTCATGGACAGATGTTCTGATGGACAGAAGGACAGATGTACTGGTGGACAGAAGGACAGATGTACTGGTGGACAGAAGGACAGATGTACTGGTGGACAGATGTTCTCATGGACAGGTGGACAGATGTTCTCATGGACAGATGTTCTGATGGACCAATCGATATCTTTACATAAATACTTCCAGGCTGAATAGTTGGCTGTCTGAACTTTGGCTCCTCCCCCTAGTCAACCCATTTTTACCATCACGTTATCATATGTTGAGTATTGTTCCTCCTCCTCCTCCTCCTCTTCCTCCTCCTCCTCTTCCTCCTCTTTCTCCTCTTCTTCTTTGGAGAAGCTTTGTTGTGAAACAAAAGCCCTTTGGGCTCGTTTAGGGACAGCATAGTCGTCTACACAAGGGTTGTAGGGGTACTCGTGACCTGTAGGGTCAGAGGTCGTACCCATACACCTCCAGGCGCCTCCTCTCATCTCCTCGGGGTTGTCATACACCGATGGTGGGGGTGTGGCCTTTTGTTCCTCTGAGGGGATGGCGCAGCCCTCAGGTTCATCGTAGATGTGATCCACCTTGCTGTTAGAGTCAGCTGGGCTCTTAAAGATGTTCCTGATCTTCATCTCATCAATGCTATCGTACAACGGGTCAGCACCAGCTTCTCCTCCAGGACCGAGACCATGCTGGGAGGCCAGGAGGAGGTCACCCATGACGCTGGAAGCAATTGTGTCAAAGGGGAGGGAGTATTCTGGCTCTCTGTTGACGCTCCTCTTGTCCTTCTTGGTGTCCCTTCCCATGACGCCAGACATGCCGATGTGGGAATACGTCTGACTCGGGTTTGGGCTGGAACTCGGTTTGGGGCGAGGGGTCGGGTTTGAGCTGGGGCCTGTGGTCAGGTTGGATCCAGGTTCTGGGCTAGCGCTGGGTAGAGGGCAGCTGGAAATCATCTTGACCTGGTTCTTCCTAGGGACGGGAAGTCCTCGAGTGTCCAGAGTCAGACTTTTGACTCCAGTCAGGACTTTATCGGCCGGAGGCTCCAGCTGAGACTGAAAACAGAGAAAGAAGCAATCATTCCGATCACACCATGGCTACAGCAAAGACCAGCAGAAGGTCAAAGTTCACAGAAGCCCGTCCAGCAGGTGAAGGTGAACTTCTAACGGTTTGTGTCCTACCAGCTGGGGGGGGTTGGAGCTGTCCATGTCTCTGTGGAGAATCATCTGAGGGCTCTGAGGTTCGGTCACCATGCTGTAGACTCCATCAGCTGCCTGCAGACAGAACACACGGAGTCAGGAACGAGCTTCGGGAATCATCCAGGAGCCTGTTTACGTTACTGGATCATGAAAGCTGAGTCCGTCAGAGCTTCATCTGACCTACCAACATCAGATTTTCCTCTAACGACGACTTTATTTGACTCAACAATTCAGATGAATTCAGGAAACTTTGAAAGATGAACAATTTCCCGGCTGTCGTGTTGAAAAGGAACGGGTTTGTTCCCAGCCTTTTCCTAAGAAACATGCTCTTTGTAACCCAGTGTGAATAAAAACAGAGATATTACATCTGCATTAAAAAGTCTCATTAAAACAACTAAATTAAATTAAGTTAAATAAAATAAAACAAAATAAAATAAAATAAAATAAAATAAAATTAAATTAAATTAAATTAAGTTAAATTAAATTAAATTAAATTAAATTAAGCAAGTTAGTTAATTAATTAATTAAAACTCTCATTTAAAAAAATTATATATAAATAAAGAAATAATATATATTAAAAAAATAAACAAAAAAACTCTCATTTCACACTGAGAGTAAAATGATACGAAGATAAAATAAACTAATTACACACAACAGTTAAAAACCATAATGAAACTGAGCAGCCAATCCCATAATAGTCTGATATCTCATCAGCCACAGACATTGACACGTAGACGCCCTGTGGACTGGCGCTGCCTACTGGAACCGCCATTTTAGATGGGTCTCCATTCGCCCCCGTTGCATTGACTCCTACTGAGGAAGATAGGCTAAGTATTTTATCCTGACTTTCTCTGCGGGTCCGTTTTATTTCCTGGATTGATTCAAAGCTCGTGACGACCAAGGATCCTTTCTCCAGCGCTGGATGGCGAGCCAGCCCCAACAAGCCGAACAAACTGGCAGCTTGTGATGTTTGCAAACACTCAGATGCAAATTTTGAGGTTGAACGACTATAACGGACATTCCACACGACAGAGGGAACGTTTTTTGGGTTTTTATTTTATTTTCTATGTTTCTATGTGCCACTGAGCACAACTAAAACTATGTTTCTATTGCCGCATGTTTCTCCACAGTTTGTGCACGTCTCATGTTGTTTTACACCCTTGTACAGAGGAGGTGAGTGACTGTTACCATCTAAAGTGCTGCATCTTATTTTGAAAAAGTATTTTTTATAGATGTCTCTTCTAACTAAAACATTTCATGACGTATAACACAACAACCCAGTAAAGGGCCTGCCTTTACTGGGGCACGAGATGGGATGTCAGCTGACCTGAAAAGCAGGGGGTTGTGGGACGTGGCTGCGGGGCTGCGATTGAGGCATCCTGCTGTGGCCCGGCGCCAGGTGGTTCTGGGTGACTTCTGGAGGAACTCCTCCAGACACCTGCCGGTGGGGGAGGGAGATCTTCTGCAGGTTGATGGCAGTCTCCACGGTCTGGAACAGGACGTTCCCCTGCTTGGTGTCAAACTCAAAGCTTCCCTCTCCGGAGTTGCACCTGCGACCCGCCTCGAAGGAGAAGGTGGACTGAAGAGAATCAAACCCTCAGATCCAAGATCAGGTGATGTGAACTTTTGTGTGTGTGTGTGTGTGTGTGTGTGTATGTGTGTGTGTGTGTGTGTGTGTGTGTGTGTGTGTGTGTGTGTGTGTGTGTGTGTGTGTGTGTGTGTGTGTGTGTGTGTGTGTGTGTGTCACCTTGTCCCGTCCAAAGCGCCGCAGGTACTTGTAAGGCCAGCTGTACAGGACATCTCCCGTCTTGCCCATCAGGTGCAAAGCTTCCATATCAGCTCGCAGGAGGCCGTCCCCCTTTAGCCTGCAGCGGTCAGCGGCGTCTGTCCTCCGAATACAAACTTTGAAATCTCGCACTGTGACACACACACACACACACACACACACACACACACACACACACACACACACACACACACACACACACACACACACACACACACACACACAACACACACACACACACACAAACTTTGTTATGGAAAGATAGAGTAACAGAAAACTCCAGGTCTGTGATGGTTGTCCTCACCAGAGCCCCCATCTTCACAGTCCACAAGGTGGAATAGACTAGAATAGACTAGACTAGACTAGACTAGACTAGACTAGACTAGAGTAGAATAGAATAGAATAGAATAGAATAGTGTAACAGAATGAAATGACTGTTTTCCACCATAAGTCATTTTCCCCTCTCCTGTGACACAGAACTAGTCTGCATGAGTAATGGTCTCAAGGTCTCATGCATTTGCTTCTAAACTGCTTCCTTTCCAGCTCAAGAGACGAATGAAGAATGGACTCTCTCCTTTTAATACATAAAAGAACTCTATTTAATAAGCTAATCAAACAAAGTGTTAGTCAATAAATAAGATGTGACCAATCTGTGAAATCAAAATATTAATTACTTTATTATAATCCTATAGCACATATGTCAGAGTCAAGGCCCGCGGGCCAGATGCGGCCCGCGGAGCATTTTTATGTGGCCCGCGAGATAAATATCAAAAATATATTAAAACTGGCCCGCTGGCCGATTTTACCGCAAAGACTACAACTCCCATGATGCTTTGCGGCGCCAGCGCGGAGCAGACGCGCCCCCTCCTTTGTGTTTTTTCAGCGCCGAGGCAGTCAGAGTTGGGTGTCTGCAGCTCCGCTGTCTCGGACAAACTACACTCCTCTTACTCAGCGCCGAGTTCACTCAGCTGTTTTCTGACGTTGAAGCCCAGAAACGGAGATTCTAGCCGCTCAGTAATGTGTTCACGACTGAAAGAGAAAGTTTTCCAACTAACGTCCAGACAGAGCTGATATAACTCCAGCGAGCAGCGACACGCTCAAACCAGCACGGCTCTGTGGTTGTGTTTCCTCCCCGACACACAACAACGTGGTCAAGCTGCTCAGACATGTTCATCAGCACAAACCTATGTGAGCACCTGTTGTCATCTAATGTTGTCATTATTATGATGAAGATGAACAAAACAACAGGAGTCTCCTCCTCAGCTCAGATCAACCCCATGATGCAGGTATCTGGCTGGAACAGGTGAGCATCACAGTAAACCAGTGGAGCAAACTGAGCTTTAAATATGTTGGTTTTATGCTCTTTTTCTGCTCCAAAACAGGAAAGTTAACAGGTGAGATGTTGCATTTTCATTTAAGATAAAATGATATTTTTATTTTGTTGTTGGCCCGTGAGAAAAGATTTAACCTACAGTAAACAGGAAGTGGAAAGGCTGCAGATAGATGAATAGAATAGAAAATCCCTTTATTGTTCCTCAGTGGGGAAAGCTAGACGTCACAGCAGCGATGACACTTATTACAGGAGGAAAAAGGAGAATTAAAAATAAGAAAAATGAAAAACAAGAAAACATAAATACTGAATAGATTTTAAAAATGCTGATTATACCACAAGTAACGAATACCACTGATGCCTTTTATTTAAAACTGACTTGCTCGTGTGTCATTTGGTTATTCCACATTCCGTGTTAATGCAGAAATACGTTTGTTTCCAAATTAAAAGGTTCTAAATATGTTGATAAAGAAAATGTGCAAATTTGCCGTCACTTTTTCAAAAAATATTAAGTTTGGCCCTCGACTCCGTCCCAGAGTTTCATTTCGGCCCCGTGTGAGTTTGAGTTTGACACCCCTGTCCTATAGAATATAAAGGTACTATGACTTTAACTGTTTCCACTAGGACTGATCTCACGTAGCGTTAAGACATCACACGTTGCTTTTACTGATCCAATCAGAATCGGCCAGATCTGATGGAGGCGTGGTTTTGGTGGTGTTTGGTAAATTTGTCATCTTTTCATTCGACCATAAACCAAAACATCCGAAGTATAAAACTATGCCACATCATCTTTAACGCCAGTTCAAAGCGTTCTAGAGAAGTTGTCGGAGTGGCTAATCCGTAACTTTCCTCTTCAGCTGAAAGAACCAACGACAAGCTGGATAAAACCTGTTGCTGTTCCAACTGCTGCAACGGTTCCTTTCAGAATAAAAGCTGAACCATCACGACGCAGGTTTGGGTCTTGTTAGATGCCAATGAACTGTCGTGACCCGGAAGAATCTCAAGACTGGTCTGGTCGGCTACCGCGGCTGCTTCTACGGGTTCCGGCTCCATAAGGTCCAGCTGGACCTTTACACCTCCTGATCTAGACGGGGACTTCCGCTAAGGGTACGTAGACCAACAGAATGGCGTTGAATGTGTTAATGAATCTCCTAACCAAAGCTTAGCGCGAAGACATCACCTTCACTTCCCACCAGAACTAATCGCTTCTTCGGATTTGCTGGTTCTGAGCAACATTCCACACTACACCATTCTCCGTCTCATTCACCTTAGTTACACCATACATTTAGTGTTAAAGTTAGTCTAGTTTTAATTTGTTTAGTAATAAATCTTTAAACTTTAAAAACTTGACTCTCTTTCTGTTGTCTCTGAGTGAATATGAAGCTGTCTTCTAATCCCTGCAATAAAAAGTTCCAATCTTCTGGTTAAACAGTACCCACAGATCCATAAGGTCGATTTCATGTTTACTATGGAATCTCATGTCCTATTAAATAGCATGTAAATTAAACCATTACACTAGAATACACTAGAATAGAATAGAATAGAATAGCATCAAAAGCGAACTGTTTTGGGAGCTGAGAGAGGACATGGGACCTCATCTTCATGGACGGAGCTAGATCAGGAAAAGCTGCGCTGCCTGAAAAATGGAACATTAACGGTACTTTTATCTACTTACTGAAACCAGATGAGTCCACACAGCTGGAACTAGCTGGACCTGAACCAGAACCCAGGATGCTGCATGGCGATACATGTCCTCTCTCAGTTCTCAGAACATACCAGTGGTTCAGAACCTGTCCTCGTGTCCCTCCACTGGTCCCCTATGTCTGCCTTAAGGAGGTTTCTGACGGTCCTGCGGAGACTTTCGGTTCCCCTCTAGAACCTGAACCGTTCAGGCTCAGTCCAACCAGAGCTTGTGATTTTATTTAGTTTCTGTTGTCTGGTCCTGATCTGTCTGACTGCAGCTTAAAGAGCAAGTCACTCCAAATCAACTTTTTTGTTTTTGCTGATAAACTATATAAATGAGTGTCTGATCGTGCTGTTGGCAAATGTAGTCAATAATTCAGCATTTTAGTTCTTCTTAGTTCAAATTTAAATATTCTGCCTAAAACTGTCAGTGTTGTGCCATCGCTATTGGCTAAGAGGTACACTATGATGTTAGATGGTACATTATGATGTCACAATGTCGTGAGTGTGTGTATTTGTTAGTGGCTCCGCCCTCTTGGTCTGCTAGGCAACAGCGTTTTTTGCATTTTTCAAACAGGAAGTGGGAGTTGAGTAAGAATCTGGGAGGGGGTGACTTGCTCTTTAATAAACTACACCTGAGAGTTGCAGGTGTTTCAGGAAGTGGAACATCTGCTGCAGCTTTGGGGGCTGCTCATCCTGGCCCGGTTTACATCAGAAACCTTCTTACTGCAGGTCTGAAGACCTGAATCTACCAGAAAACTAGAATTTAGACAGTAGCAGAAGCAAAAACATCCATCCATCCATCCATCCATCCATGAGGAGATCGACAGGCGGATTGGTTCGGCGTCTGCAGTGATGCGGACGCTGAGCCGATCTGTCGTGGTGAAGAGGGAGCTGAGCCAGAAAGCCAGGCTCTCGATTTACCGGTCGATCTACGTCCCAATCCTCACCTATGGTCATGAGCTTTGGGTAATGACCGAAAGAACGAGATCGCGGATACAAGCGGCCGAAATGAATTTCCTCCGTAGGGTGGCCGGGCTCAGCCTTAGAGATAGGGCGAGGAGCTCGGACATTCGGGAGGGACTCGGAGTAGAACCGCTGCTCCTCCGGATCGAAAGGAGTCAGTTGAGGTGGTTTGGGCATCTGGTCAGGATGCCTCCTGGACGCCTCCCTGGGGAGGTGTTTCGGGCATGTCCTGCCGGCAGGAGCCCCCGGGTCGACCCAGGACACGTTGGAGAGGTTACATCTCCAATCTGGTCCGGGAACGCCTTGGGGTCCTGCCGGAGGAGCTGGTGGAGGTGGCCGGGGAGAAGACGGTCTGGAGCTCCCTAGTTGGGATGCTGCCCCCGCGACCCGGACCCGGATAAGCGGAGGAAGACGACGACGACAATGACGATGTCAATCCAACCACGCACCATAGAAGCCTCAGCAGGTTCCATTGGCCTGAACGGTTTTGTGTTATGCCAATCGCAGCGCTCCGTCGCTTTGGTGGGTGGATGGTGGACTGCCCCGTTCACTGACATCTGCAGCGGTGAGTAAGTCACAATGTTTGTTGTCCAATAGAATACAGAGACAGTTTGAAAGAAGCCATAGGTTCCACCCCACAACTGAGCTCATGGGTCATGACCAGACTAAATATTCATAAATATAGGATGTCTGCAGGCTGGAAACCTGTAGCTCCTCAGATCATCTGACCAGGCAATCCACCGACAGCAGGGTCTCATCTGACAGGTCTACTAATAATCTCCATTTAACCACACAAGACTTGGTTTCTTGAACCTTTGAGATGCTAGGTGGATATTATTTGGAGGATCAACCAATGGAAGAATGATGGATGGATGGATGGATGGATGTAAGGATGGATGAATGGATGGATGGATGAACGGATGGATGGATGGTTGGATGGATGTAAGGATGGATGTAAGGATGGATGAATGGATGGATGGATGAACGGATGGATGGATGGATGGATGGATGGATGGATGGACGGATGGATGGACAGATGGATGAAAGATGGGTAGATGGATAATGAATGAATGAATGAAAGATGGATGGGTGATGGGGGGATGGATGATGAATGGATGGATGGATGAATTAATTAATTAATGAAAGATGGAT